TATTTCTGCCCCGTCATGCTTTGTTTGCCTTCCAGCAACGACTCGATGTTGCTGTTGCTGTTGCTGTTGCTGCTGCTGGTGTTGTCTTTGCACTTGTGATTGAAGTTTTCCTCCCGGACCTCCTGCCCCTGCCTCTGTTCGTCCATTATCAATGCATATCACGTTGAATGCTGATGTTTATGATGTCGTTTATTACGACCAAAGACAAGTGAAGTAAACTCGAGTGAAGTGTGGCTTAAATGGCGTCAGAGACATTTGCCAGATTAATGGCCACACAGTCCCGTCCTCCCGGCAGAGGGGCGTGGCAACAGGCAGTCACAGTAGCAGTAGCAACACTAACAACAACTGCAACAGCAATCGCACACAAAACAATTTGTTTACATTTTAATTTCTGCAATTTTGTTTGCTTAACTCTGCGGCGTCGACGACAGTCGTCGTTGTGGCTTTTAAAAGGCAGAGTCTTTATTTTTTTTGTTTTGTTTTGAGAGGGTTAAAGGGGGTCTATCAGTGGGGTTAAAGGGGCCTGGCAGGGAGCTAAAGGGGGGACAGACGCCATGCCACAGGAGGCACATGGCACGCGGCTTATCGCGGCGTCTTTCAGTCACCAGGAAAGATGGGTTGGGGCTGCAAAACTTCATCAAGTTTCGCTGTGTGTAATAAGCGTGACAAATGCCAAGCAAATACAGTGGACACTCGGCAGGAAAGACAAGCTGGAAATTATTTGTTCTTTGTTTTTAAAGACATTTGCTTTAAGAAGAAATGCAAATACATAATATAAATTATTTAATTTACTGAGAATTATTGAATGCAAATGAAAGTTGTTTTATATTATTATAAAATTTGGTCCTTGATTTTATAAAATATTATTTATAAGCTAATAATTAAAACTAAACTAGAAAGAAGGTTAAATACATAAATACTTCATAGGGTTGGAAATGAAACCTTCACTGCGTTACCAACTTCAGATTTAAATTATAATACCCTGCAATGGCTTAAAAATAATTTCAAAATATTTGTTATAAAACCCCATAAAACCCCTATTTTTTGTACAGTGCATCTCTTTCGTATAGACAAGTGCGTGGCGTCATTATTATAATTATTATGGCCACCTTTATGGTTGTTGGTCTGCCTCAAAAACTGGCCGTGAATCAGATTTCCATGGCATTGCACATTTTCAGTTTTCAGTTTTCCCGCTGACAGTTTTCTGTTCGCAGTTTTGCAGAGCCCAGTAAGACAAAGCCGAGTTGGCAAATCTGGGTTCTCGTTTTATTTTTTGTATATTTTATTTTTTTTTTTGCCATTGTTGACAACAAATGAGCGCCATTTAATGCGATGTGCTATGGCTATGCTATGTGCTTCCTAGTTGTTTGGGCCAGTTGTTGCCGTCGTTGTTCGCCGGTTGTTCATTGTTCGTTGTTTGGCGTAATTAAGCAGCAGTTTGCACTTGGCTTGCACTTTTCAGCTTTCGGTTTTCGGTTTTCCAGTCTTCAGTTTTCAGTTTTCAGATCATTTACGAGCACTTGGCATTCGCCGTTCCACTTTGCCAAACATTTGCTTACAAGCATGTTTCGCTGTCCGCTCTTTTTCGGTCTTTAACTGGCGACTTGTTAGCGCCATGTTTACACTCTAGAAAAAGCTTAATTAAATCTGGTAGTTTTCCCGCTTTTTATCATATTTTTTTCGGGGGGCCCTCTGGAAAGTCATTCCACCCGTGGCCGAAAATTAACACTTCATTTAGCATAATTTCACACCATCTTCCGCCAACCCATCGCCTGACAAGTCCATTCTGTCTTTTCCGCTCGCCCATTATGTAATCTTTCGCGGTTAGTCAAAAAAATAAACCCAAAAAAGGGAAATTAAAATTCTGAAAAAATAAAGAACAGTTAGGGGATACTCTTTCTTAAAACAATTAAGGAAATACAGCATTTAAACACCTCTAAATATGTTCTTAAGCTTATTTTAATTCAAAGTCTACTTGGGATCATTTAGTAAATAAATCATCAAGTAAATAAATCTTCAGTTTTACCCATAAAATATATAGAAAAAATATCTATACATTTTATTACACAATATAAAATAATTTACATGATTTTCCTTATTATCTTTCCTGTTTAACCATATCCTTTTCTGTTCATAACTTTATCGATTCGGCTAACCGCTTTGGCGAGTTAATTAACACTTGACCAAGTGTATATGACCGTTTATACAGATATACGTACATTTGTGTTTATCCAAACTCTGCCAGCCATAAATCAAAAATCTCGACAACTCTCCCTCGAATCCGATCCCCGATTTCGCGTGCTAACAAGGCGGCCCCAAAGCGGCGGAACCTTGGCGAAGGAACCCAGAGTCGGAGTTCTCTCCGGCTCCGACTGGCGTGAAAATTTATGTTTTTTTCCAGCTTTTTGTTCACTTTATTTTATGAATATATACGTTTGTTCATGGGGACAGTGGAAAAGGAAAAGCAAAAGAGCGAGGGGGGAGCCCATGCCGTGGCAACATTCGTTGGTGTAAAGTTTTTCGCATAGTTGTCAGCATTGCGCTGTTTAATTACCCTAATTAAGAATATTAATTGCCCTTCGGGTGGATAATAAAAGGGGAAAAAAAGGAGGGGCAACTGACCCTGTTCTCGGAAATAGAACATGAATTATGATATGCAAAAAATATACAAAACTTTCTGCCCGTTTTTCCATTTAAGTTGCGAAATCGAAAAAGTTGAGACAACTTTAAAAGCGAGAAATGGGGGGGCACACAAAGGACACGCACTCCATTAAGCCAAAAAAGGGGCAGACATATGCGACAACAATAACAATGGCAATAGCAAGCCACTAACTGGCTGGAGGGGGAGGGCAAAGGTGCTAGGATGGACACAGGTGTCCCTGTCGCTGGCCCATCAACACCTCTTCCCGGCCCACGGACACACACGAGTCCACCCGGCGCTCTCTTTTCATTTTCTCAACACGTAAAGCAAACACGTGACCGTTAAGGACATGGACTCCTGCTACTCTTAGCCCCTGACCCAATGTCCTGCCCCCACTGCCAGCTAGTTGTAGGCGCAAATTGCCAACAGAAGGACAACGACAATGGAGTGCAGTGCAAGAAAAAAGGGGGATAATCTGGGATTTATTGGGAAATAATTAAAAATTCTGGGATTCGTTCTGCTTTATTTTGATTTCCCTAACTATCTAAATCCTTTTTAAAGGATTTTATTTTATCTAGTTTCTTTTCTTCTACAATAATTCCCAGTTTCTATTCCTTTCTCGCTGTGTAAAAACGGTGAGGTTCCCCCATAAACTGACGGCTTATGGCAGACACAGCACAAAGCTTCGTCCTGCTCCGGCTCCTGCTCCCGCTCCTCCTTCTGCTCCTCCTGCTGCCGCCCCCCTACTGCACCCCCCCAGCTCGCAGCTACGTGCGTGTGTGCACAATATTCATATATCACAAGGATAAGCGCAATGCAGCAAACGTCCTTCCAGACGTGCCGTCGTTGCTGTAGCTCCTGTGGTTGTTGTTGTCGCTGTGGTGCCTTGTCCTTTTGCGGGGCTGCCAACTGCTTTCAGTTCGGTAGCCGTAGCGCCCACTCCCTTCCGCCACCGTCCATGTGTGTGTGTGTGTGGTAACTTTTAATTATTTGCGAATGTTGGCGCCAGACGGCGAGATGCGATGCGATCCTTGTCCCCTCCCCAAACCCATCCACGGCTGTCGTCGTCGCTGTCCTTTCCTGTCCTGTGCCTGTCGCCTTTCCTTCATTGATTTCGCTGACCAGAAGCTTAGAGGAATGGCGGAGGGAGAGGTTGCGGAAGGCGAAGGCAGCGCCAAAATCCAAAGGCCCCATAAACTTGGAGCGCCATAAAATCTGCTGGCAGCGCCATAAAAATTCCCACAGCGGGAGTTGGAGACTGTGGAGAGTTTGGACTCTGGGCACCCCTTTGCACCCAACTGTACCCCGACCAGAGTTGCCCATTCCTCTAACAAACGCATAAAACTAACGCAGCGTAAACGTAAATGCCGCCGTTGTTGTCATCTGTCTTCTCGTTACGTTATTTCCTCGGCTAGCTTCATTTTTTTTTTGGCAGCTTCAGCACAAAATTTATCTTATTTATTTGTTTGACTGAAAGCCAACTCAAACGGACGCCGAGAAATTGCAGCATTTTGATGCTTGACTGATTGCCACCAGTCTGCTGTTCCCTAATTTAAAGATCAAACATAAAATATTTTATATTTTGCCTAAATTTTTGCTTCTTCTTTTTACGTAATAAGTACAAGCTTGCGTAGGAGTTTCCACGATTTGGCATCTCTGGCAATAAGAGAGGTTAGGTATTCGTCTCCAAGTTAATTTGTTTTACTGTTCCAAACAATGTACTTAAAAATGTTTTTTTGTAATAGCTTAATAGTTATTAATCATTAAAACTTCTTCCGTTCTACAAACCTAGTTTTAATCGAATTTTAGCTGCGGGGGAGTTTTTGCGATCCGGCAACTCTTTGGTTAACAAGTAGATCACGAAAAGGAAAGAGATGGCCAGAGATGTAGTAAATAAGCTTTAGTTTCTGTGTGTCAGAACGAGAAGACCAGTCAGTCTTGAAGTTTTGAGGCAACAACTAAAGTGATTAGTGCGCGATATTCTTGTATTCTCTTTAGTTTGTGCAATACGCAATTATAATTTAAAAGAAAAATGGTGGGTGCTGTTTTTTATTATAAAAATAATAATTATTTTGTTTTTGTTTAAGTGAAATATAAAGAGTATATGTGCTTTCTCTAAGGTGTATATGGGTTAAGACGAGTGTTTAAAGGGTAAAAGTGAGGCTGACTGGAGACTTCTTCATATACCCATGACCTTGAATTTAATAAAAGCCATAAAGAATTTGTATATTAATCTGTTAAGGGTATATTTTATTTTAATAAATAAGCAGGTACTTAATAGATGTATTTTTTATTTAATTTATCTTATTTAATTTGCATAAATAACTAATACTCACATTTATTTTTCCCATTCTTCCAGGCCACATCGTTTCGTCAGGTCCCTCGCAAGAATCCCAGGCCCCGCAAGCTGCAGGACTTGCTGGTGGAGTCCCCCACTTTGTGCTTGTCCCAGCAGGAGGAGGAGCAGCAGCTGCGTCCAACCATATCCCAAACCCATCCCGTTGGAGGCTCCGTTCCGCAGGAGACGCAGCCACCGCCGCCGCCGCTGAAGCCACAAAAAGTTGACCTCATGACGATGGCAGAAGGCACCGACCCCATGGGGCATGGTCACCACACGAATCCGCACAATCCGCCTTCGCAGGCGCCTCCGCCGCCGCAGCACCACCATGCCCACCCGCTCCACCTGACCCACTCCCATCCCCATCCGCAGCCACCGCCCCATCACCTCAACCACAACCTGAATCACCACCAGCATCACCACCACCCGCAGCAGTATCTACCGCACATGTATCCGGCGCCGGGGGCAGCAGCCGCCCCTTATGGCCAGCTGCCGTATCCGCATCTCCAGCAGCAGCACCACCATCATTCCCATCCTCCGCCGCCGCATCCGCACCACCTGCCGCTGGCACTCAGTCTCCACCAGCAGGCGGCGGCTGCGGCGGCAGTGGCTGCTGCGGTGGCCACCAATCACTCCAACAACATCAACAACAACAACCAGGCCAGTGTGGCCAACAATAATATCGTGGTGCCGTGGAAGCAGCGCAAGCGCAAGAGGCTATCGGCGGTGCTGGACAAGCTGCATCATCACAACAACAACAATAACAATAGCAGCAGTAACAACAACAACAACAACAGCAATGAGGGACACTCCAATGGCCTCGCTTGCAAGGCGGAACCCATGGATATGGAAGAGGATGCCGAGGATCATGAGCAAGACGAGGATGAGGATCACACGGAGGAGTCCATTCGCGATGAGGACGACGAGGAGGAGCACCCTGAGGACGCTGAGGAGCAGCATGCCAAGTACATCAAGAGCGAGCAGCCCGTCAGCGAGGATGAGGAGAATGAGCCGGAGCTGGAGAACGAGGAGAACGAGGACATCTCAGGCGAGGATCTGGAGCTCTCGCACAGCGATGACAACGATCAGGACAGTCCCAGGATCAGCATGAGTCCGCTGCAGCTGCAGACGGCACAAAGCAACCTGCCGCAGGACCATCCCCATCCGACAAGTCAGCAGCTGAACAAGGAGAATCCGCTGCACGTGGACATCAAGACTGAGATACCCAACCCCTACGACCGGTACTTTCCGATACCCTCGCCCCTGTTCGGTTACTACCTGCACACCAAGTATCTGAACGAGGTGTTCCGCCGGCGCCACGATCTCTATCCCTCGCCGCTCCAGCACACGCCCTCCTCGATAGCCTCCGAGACGGAGACGTCGCCCACTTTGCAGGAACGCAAGAGCGGTCCCTCCGCCTCCTCGAATCACATGCTGCCCCACGTCCTGCTGGCCAATGCCTCGCCCCCGCCGTCGCTGCCGTCGCCGCCGCGCAGCGAATCCTCGGTGACCAATAGTGGAGCCAACACCACCACGAGCAGCACCACCAGCACCACCGCTACCGGCGGCCTCAAGAAGCGCACCAGTCCCAAGCCGAAGGGCAAGAAGGGCGACAAGAAGCCCATGCCGCCGCCACAGGAGCGTCCGCTTGATCTGTGCATGCGCAGCGACATGGAGATCAAGAAGTACAAAAAGTCGGGCTCGAAATCATCCTACCAAGAGTCCAGCCCTCCCTCCTCCTCCTCGGCTACCATGATGCCGCCACCGCCGGCCATGAGTGCGGCCAGCAGCCTGGAGAGCATGAATGCCCTGTCGCCGGCATCGAGTAGCCACTCGGGACACACGCCCAGCACCACCGCTTCCACGCCCAACCACCAGCCGCCCCCCAATTCCCCGTATGCGAATGCCATGAATGCAGCCCATGCAGCGGCTGCGGCGGCGGCAGCGGCGATGATCAAGCTGGAGATGCCACTGCATCCGCTGCACCACCAGCAGATGCACGGTCATCCCCATGTGCCCACCACCACAGTGGGTGTGCCCGTGATCAAGGGAGATGTGGCCTCGCCCACGACCAAGGAAACGGTGGCCTGGCGCTACAATCTGGACGTGTCGCCCGTTGTGGAGGAGATGCCACCCGGCTCGGATGTGGCCTATGTGTGCCCCACCTGCGGACAGATGTTCTCGCTGCACGACCGCCTGGCCAAGCACATGGCCTCGCGCCACAAGTCCCGCAATCCCGCCAATGATATTGCCAAAGCCTACTCCTGCGACGTTTGCCGCAGGTCCTTTGCCCGCTCCGATATGCTCACCCGTCACATGCGCCTGCACACGGGCGTCAAGCCCTACACCTGCAAGGTGTGCGGCCAGGTCTTCTCCCGCTCCGATCACCTGTCCACCCACCAGAGGACCCACACCGGCGAGAAGCCCTACAAGTGCCCGCAGTGCCCGTACGCCGCTTGTCGCCGCGACATGATCACGCGTCACATGAGGACGCACACGCGGTACGAGTCCAGGGGCGGCGGTGGCAGTGGATCCCGGGAGGGCCGTGAGGGAGGACGAGAAGGTCGCGAGGGCAGGGAGTCCCGCCGGAGCGGAGAACGTCTAGAGGAGCCCAAGTCCCCCAGTTCCCATCCGCTGCTCGACATGAAGATGAACATGAACATGGGCATGGGCATGGGCCTCAACATGGGCCTGGGCATGAACCCGATGAGCCTGCTCCAAGAGGAGTTGCTGCAGAAGTCTCAGCCTGGCCTGACCCTGGGCGGACCCATGCCCATTGTGGTTAAGACCGAGAGCGCCTAACACAGCAGGCGGGGCTTCATGACCTGCTAGAGGGGAGATAACCCCAGCTTAGTGCTAGAAAAAGAGAAATTATAATGATAATATTAACTAGAGCAGTTCGTACTTGTACCGGAAATCTCTGCGAAGACTGAGGAACCTTATTACTACCTACAGTTAAAGAATAGGCTAAAGAAGCACCTACTAGGAGGAGCGCTAGAGGGCAGCACTCAAGACCGACCACCCAACGTATTAGCACTTAAACTAGTTCTAGTTGCCAGATCCCCTTGAACCCCCCATAGCCGGGATCTTCGATACAGCTAGGCAATTCCATGTTCCACAAAACTTAGGCTATATCTAAAATATATCTAATATACAGAACGTACTTCTTAGGCGCGATCAGATCCCCCCGCCGGTCTGATCTCACAGCATTTTGAGCAACACTGAAATTATTAAGCTATTAGTTGTTTAGTTAACTCTTAATTTATTGGTAACCTTTACTCAGCAGCATGTAAACTTCAACCACAACGATTTGTATTAATTTAATTTAACTCTATTTAATTTAATTTAATTTAATTTTAGATCTAAACAAAAAACACACACAAACAAAAGACAAAGAATTCTCCCTAGGGCACAAAAAAAAAAGCTAATTTCTTCTGAGATTTTAAAAAGAAAAACAAAGCAACAAAAGAAATACTATTCCTTTTTTTTGTTCAACAAAAACACTTTGTTAAATTTTAAATTGTATTTGCAATTGACTCACACTCCCCCTCAACACTATTACTATTTTTTGTTTTCATGAAATGAAATAAAAACCTTTAAGTTTTCTTTAGTTCATAAACCATTCTTGGATTGGACAAACCCTCAAAAACCCTCTCCAAAACGGGAGTTCCCCCCGGGGTCGTTTCCATGTTTCAAGTTGAAGTTTTTCGTTATTTATTATAAAAATCTATTATAAAACAAAAGAGAGCGAAACAATGCCCCGACTCCCGCTTATTGATTATTAGTTCTTAGCTAAACGTTTAAATAAATTATTAACTTATGTTATTCTAGTTGGTTATGATTAGATCTTAGTTCAAAAACGTTTTTCACAAAATAAAACCAAGCAAAGTCTACACCGATGGACAATGTCAAGCAAAACAGAATTTAAAACTTATTTTGTTATTATTTTGATTGGGTTTTCTTTATTTTTCAGATTGGTTTTATCTTTAAATTTACATGTTGATTTTATTTCTCAGTTTATTTTGAAATTTAAAATCTGAGAGCTTGTTTATTGTTTATTTCAATTTAGGTTTTAAAATATTTAAGTATAGCCTTCGTTTGCCTAATTTGGCGTTGTGGATTTTTCCATCACATATACATATATTTTTTGTTGTTTTTTTTAGGAGCCTAAAACCTATACTTTCCCGTGATTGTGGTATGCCTTTAGCCGGAGAGTCAAAGTCGTAGCTTAAGCCGTAGTCGCTGCCGGAGCCGGAAACTGGCTTACAAGCTTTTAGGCAATGGGAATCGCTTACAAGGCGCAGTCAGCTCCTTTTCGCCGGTCACGAAACTGCATTTTGGCACGCAGCCCCACTTTTAGCCCGGCTTTTCGGCAGGTTTTTCCCACGCCGATACCAGCGGGGGTGGTGAGTGGGGCAGTGTAAAGGCGATTCAAGTCCTTGTTCTTCGCATGGAAATTTTCTTCGGGGGCCTTAATGGCCTCGCAACACGAAGAAGGCGACGGCGTGGGAGTTGCAGTGGGTGCCAAGTGGGTGGAAATGTGGGTGCCCAGTGGTTTGAAAAGTGGCTGAGGGGAGGTCCTTTGTGGTGGGACTTGCTGCATTGCAGTTTGCGGCTAATGTCTGACCTTGTTTTGCAATGACTAAATTAATTCCTTAATAAGTGCGGGGTTGCAAAACAAACACGAACCGCAGACGTTGTTGGCACAGTTGGCCTCCATTTTCCTTCTCCCCCCCTCCCCTTTGGCTTTTCCAGTGTAATTAAGCAGTGAAAATGCCCCAATTGACAGACATTGTGTGTTGTGTCTGGGCTGTGCTGAAAATGGAGGAGTTGTCGCATCTCCGGGGCCATAAATCAGGGCGAGGGGCAGCTAAGTAGCCGCGTGTTGCAGCTAGCATGTTGCACTCCATCACTTTTTTCCAAGGGGGGCAGGGTAGGGTAGGCTGCTGTGGCTGACTTATGGGCCGGACTGTATTAGCCGGGCCTAGATGTGATGATGCCGCATTGCATAATCCGCTTGGGTCGTGCATCATTTTGGCCACCATCGCCATGGCCTGACATTATTTGCAGCTTGCAGCGGATTTTTCTCCTTTTTTTTAGGATACCCTGTGAAGTAAGGGAAGGACATAGTGGATTTATGGTGAACTAATGCGTAAAAATGGGTCGGAAATTAATATATTAGCTAGAAAAGTGTAACAGAAGATAGAGCTTTTAAATTTTTAAAAATATTACCACTGTTAAGGCATTTTTCTTTTATTTTTCGAGAGACTTTATGTTCGAGTTGTGAATGCATTTACAATTTTTATAGCTTAAATTATATTTTGTAATATTTTTTAGAGTATTTTTCATATGTTTTTCTACCAATTGCATATTTTTGTTAAGTAATTTTTTAGTCGAGTGCAGCAGTTGCACTATTTTTAAGCGCTCGCCTCGATTTTCACTCGGTTCTATTCCGTGGCACGCATAAATCTCTAAACAAGGCGCGCGTGTCGTGCGTTTATTATCACTTCCTCTCCGCAAAGTGGGGCAACAAGGGGTTAAGGGGGTGACTTGCAGAGATTCAGATTCAGGGGGGGAATGGGATGGCTGGCATCCAACTTTCCTTTTGTCTCCGCTCGCGAAATTTATCGCCGTCATTTGTAATTGTAGCGCGAAAATTGAGTTTGAGTTTGAAGTTTGGCCTGTTGGCCAGGGTAGCCAGGGGTTCGTTGCGGTTGTCGCGTTCCGTCGGTTTATTCATTGTTTCCATCAACATAATTCAGTTTGGCTTTGGATCAGCTCCAAGTGATTGTTTCGCCAGGCGGAGATTTACGGGCACTAAGCTGGGACCGTCGAAAAAGGTCTATGTGTATATAGAAGCAAGCCATAAATATAGAAATATATATCTAGATTTACACTTAGATATAGTGTTATATATTTCCGTCACACGGAAGTGCCTTAAAACAAACACAACAATTTTTTGATACTCGAAAAACTAAGAAAAAATTAAAAAAAAAAAACTAAGCAACAACTCAATTTGAGATACTGTAAGATAGAATCTTTTGCCTTGTACATTGTGCGACTTTTGCCAGGCCTAATCAACTTTTTGACTAATGGATAACTAAACAATAAATGGTAACAGATAGCCCATATATATACATATGAAATATATTTACCAGATATACGTAACATATTTTTAACGAAGAAAAGAAATCGTAGCTTAAGATTTTTCAACTTAACGCTTCTGAGAAGTTAAAAATTTTAAGCATTAAATGCTAAACGCATCCAGTCAAGTATTTTTTAATAAAACTCCATTTACTAGAATCAAAGAAAATCCTAAAAAAAAAAGAAATTAAATAACAAAATACCTTTTAAATTAAAAAAAATCCTTCACTCAACTAAACTCAAGTAAATTTTACTCGAATCGCTTTCAGGAATATTTTTATAGCGCTTTTCGACATTTTAAAATCCAGAAATCAAAAACTAACTATGTAAATTAAAGCAATAACTATGATAGCTAATCAAAAGACTCAACTTTTCAACTCTTAGCTTACATTTGCCTTCTAGTCCTAAGAATTCCAGAATCAAAGATCAACTACGATATAAACTAATACAATTTTATCGAAAACGCATTGAAGTGGAGAGAGAAATCAGCGAGCAACATTGTGATATTAGTTGAGAACAAAATCGAATCACTTCCAACTGCTAATTACTGTATCATTTTGGGTTCTTCAGAGAGAATCGAACTCGAGGCCCAACCCCAATCCGATCTTCCAATTTTGCTATTAAGGTGCTATTAAGTTCGGTTTTTATCTTGCGGTGCTATGTACAGATACTAAGGCTTGGTTAGTCTAAGTTCCAAGTTAATTAATTGCCCTTTTCCCTTTCAAAAAAATAAAGACACACTCTGACAATCCTTAGCTGCCCAAAACAAAACACTAAACATAACTCATTATTGTACTAAAATCTCCAGGAACTCTCTTGGCAGTTCCTTTGTCATTGTATGCTAAACGTTTAACTAAATTATGAATAACTACGAGAAATTCCATTAAGTCTACTCTAATTAGTTTCTCTTCCATCGCAAAAAATACGAAAAATACAAAAATAAATAAATATGAACCGAAAACGAAAACTGAAACTAAAAACTCGAGGGAAGCGGATTTTTGGAATGCGCAGCTAATGTAAAATGTCTTCTGCCCTGCAGTCTTAACTGAATGCAATCAGGAGGGGACCACGGCGGAAGGAGCAGGGATCCCCAAGATTGGGAGGCTGGGATCGGATGAGATGGGATGGGACACCGAAGGGCTGCGGCAGAAATAATGCGCGTAATAACAAACTGCAGGCGTAACTGAAATGCCAGGCTACTGCGCATTTGTCCAGCTGGGCACTGAGGGAAAAGCGTTCTCTAAGACTTGAAAAAATATATAAAAATCAATTAAGTTATAAATGAATTATAAAGCTAAATAAGAAAATTATTAACCAGGATTTAAGCCAAGTTTTCACGATTTATTGGCACCTATCTAGGTAAATCCTCAGCAATTAGCTTTTCCAAGTGCAAAGCTAAAATCAAAATTGGAATTTACAATGTTAATGGATACCATTTCCGCTCAGTGTGGAATTGGCGAAGGCGTTGGCCCCGACGGACGGGAGGCGCAACTGCGGTAATTACAATTGCCGCCGGACATGGACGGCAGCAGCAGCAGCAACAGCAGCAGAAGCATCATCAGAAGCACCACCAAAAGCGAGTTGCACAGTGGCAGGCACAGCTGTGTGGCTCCGTCAGTGGTTGGGGATGTGGATGTGGATCCTCGAGAGGTCCCTGCCCAAGAGACAATTATATGCTGCCAGAGACGCATGCGCAGCTTCCTGGGTTGCTGCTGCTGCTGCTGCTGCTGCATTTCGTTTTTACGTTTTTATTTGAGCAAATTGCTGGCAACTTTGCGCTGACTGACTGACTGACTGAATGATAGACTCACTGACTGCTCCGGAGTCCAAGTCCAAGTCCAAGTCCGAGCCGAAGTCTCTCTACTGACTGACTGACAGTTGCCAAGGCTGCAGTCCTCCTGCAGACCCCTCAAGAGCCCCAGGATCCCCAGCTCTCCTCCAAAATGTCTACGTGCGGGCGTTTTGCTCAAGAATGCTCTCGGGTCGCTGGTCTCGAACGATAATGATGATTGCAGTCTAAATTATGATGCCGGGGCTGCTGCACAGAGAGAAAGTGTAGCAGCAGCGGCAACAGAAGCTGCCTGCAACATCATCGACCTGGCAAGCGGCTACTCCTCCTCTTCCTTGGCCAATCAGGGCTGGATTTCGGTGAGTTCCCTTTGATTTCAGGGCAGAGAAAAGGGAATTAAATTTATAAAGGTTTAAATAAATTGCTGGAAGGAAATTCTTAAATGTAAAAATATATTCCAGTCCAGCAGCTTTTTGTAGGGTAATTTCTTTAGTTAAATTTAATATTTTTAAAAGAGCAAAATTAAGTTGGAAAGCCTTTCTGTGCTATACTTTTTCTAGGTTAACAAGGAATAAAATGATTTGATAATTTTAAAAATTTTAACACTTAAAATATTTTGAAAAAAATTGTCCTATGAAAAATCACTATTTCTTGAATCTCCAGACTTCTGGTAAGTCCGCTCCTGATTTGTTTAGCATAACTTCATGCCGCTGGCCGCCGAACGGAGCAGAGGAAGCGCAAAAAATCTCATAATTGCAAAGCAGTTTGCCGCAGGTGCGCCACCCGCCCTGGATGTGGATGTGTACGTAGGATGTGGATGCTCCGAGGATGGGGGAATGGAAACAGGGATGGGGATGTACTACCTGAGACCCTGGACAGAGGACGCCAGATGAGCAGCTCTGATAAAGCAGCGAACTGAACGTAAGTAGGTGTGTTGTTGCTGTTGCCGTTGCCTTGATGTTTCAAGATGCATAAAGAGAAAAGTTGTAGTTGCTTCTGAAATCTGTAATTTTAATTTATTTTTATAAACTTAAGAGAATTCTAATGATCTTAAATTAGTTTTTTAAGGAGTTACTTTAGTGAACAATTTTATTAAACAATTTATTGTCTAGATGGGTAATTTTATTATTAATATATAAGTTTTATATTTATTTTATATTTTATTTTATTTTATTACGTCTCTTTTATGCTTTTCTTTACATTTTTTCACTTAATAAATATATTTTATAATTGATTTACTTAATCAATATTTCTTTCTGTGCTCAAGTTGCAACATCCGATGGCAGCGACTTGGTCTCGTTCTCGTATTTAATGCATTTGATCCTTGATGCTGTTGAAAATGAACTGAGCCCGAACATGCAATCAAGTTGAGTTGCCCGACTCTCCTTTCCCCTGCTCCCTGCGATCCTCCTCCTTGCTGGAACTTAGGAACCAATCGGGGCAATTTCATGAATGAAAACTCCGGCTCGTTTGGGGAGTTTGCATGTTTCGGCTCTCGATACACACGCACACCCACTCATGATACGGATTTCTGATGGGGATTTTGTGAACTAGCAACATTTTGCCAAAGCCAAAGTCGGAGCCAGTCTGGAGCTATGGAGCTGTGGAGCTGTGGAGCTGCAGCTGCAGCGCATTAACCTCGAATCGAAAAACTCCTTCTGCTGGCTGCCTGCGAGACGGGCAAGCAAAATATTTACCAAAGTGATTAAGATGCCTGAGTAATTTTTAACACAATTACGCTGCCAAACAGACGACGCTGGAGTTGGACTTGGAGTTGGAGACGGAGCTGGAGTTGGGGTTTGCTGCGTTGCTACCTCACTTACACCGCAGCCGCAACGCCACGATTGCCGGTTGCTGTTGCTGTTGCAGCTGCAATGCTGCTAATGACCAGGCACAGGCTGCAATATAAACTGTGGCATTGTCTGACTGTCTCCCCTGGAGTCTCCCCTTATTTTCGAACACCCAGCGACTTGTGTGTCTGTGCCATTAGCACTGCCACACTAGGCTGGCTTTAATCGTAGCGAGGCGACTTGCCAGTCGGCAACAAGCTCACACACAAAAAGGCCCAACTAAGGCCTGAGTTGAAGCAAAACCAAGGCGGGTGTTTACGCATCACTGTTTTTTGACAGCCTTCTTTTATTTTGTATTTTGTATTTTTTTTGCCCAGACACTCTTCTATCTTCATACATAGCTGTGATTTATCGAATTTATGAAGTTTTGGCAGGTGTTGAGCCCATGTTGCCGCATCTCATGGCACAAAATGATGTTGCCCCATTCAACGCACGACAACCTGCAAAAAAGCAGAGTCGTGCCGCATTTGGTTTAGTTTTCGGGGGCTTCGTGTGGCACGACTTTATGCTTCTTTCTGCCCCGGAGAGTTAAGTTAGTGGCGTCCATACCCATTGAGGCTGCTGTGGCCATGTGCACCCAGTCACCGATGAACAAATGCACAAAGAGCCCGGCCATTTGTACAAAATATTTGTCAACGCCGGCACTGAGCAAAACAAATTGCTGGGGAACGAAGAATTTAATAGGTTCTTTACTATTCTGACTTTATTAAGTTTAAATTTAAAGAATTCTGTTTATTTAAATATTATTTTTAATATGTAGATAACATTCTTAGTTTGTATAGTAAGGTTTTATTATTTTTAATACATTTTTTCTAGTAAAGATTTGAATAAGAAAGTCATACATCAATCTTCTTGGTTTTTAAACCTTTCTATAATATATTTTACCATTTTACACAGCATGTTTCAACATAAACTAATTATTATAAGGTTGAATAGAGGTTATTACTTAGATATTTAACCGGTGAACCCATATTAAATCCCTTCTTAAGAAACTTCCTGTTTAAAACAAAAAATCAGCTTAATAATAACACCTCTGTAAAACCCTTTTAGTCATAGATTAAAGCTCCATTTTAGCCAGTTAACAAAAACGGATACATTAAATTAATGCCTTAAACCTAGTGATCCAATAAGACCCTCTGGGGTTTTTGCTATTAAGCAATATTGGCCTACAAACTACTTGACTTTTTTGCCGACTGTGCAAAGTGGTAAAACCGTCTAAGGATGCCCGCTTAGCGTAAAGGGGTAAAAGGCCACAAAAGCTCGACTCAACGCCAACTCCAGCTCCTGGCTAAGAGGCTAATTTCCTCATAGCCAACTCTCTGGGTCTCCTCACTCCCCTTTTGGTGGCTCAATGAAAATGAAAATGAGCTCGGCACGCGTTGCCATGGCGCACGACTGGAAAATTGCAGAAGCCGCTTGGCTGCACTTGCGAAAAAGGGGAAGCTTTTGGGTCGGGTCGGAGTTGGAGTTGGAGTCGGAGTCGGAGGGTACCCTCTTTGCCACTTTCCAGTGGTGTCCCGGCCACGTGTTGCGCATGCGCTCGCCCCTCGAGCTCTGGGTTCCAAGTCGGGCTCTGGACATGAGCACGACGCCCTCAGCGTTTGTTTGTCAGGGTCGACTGCGTCGACTGCAAGTTGCAACTCGAAACTGCCGCATCGTGCAGCGGCAGTTGCAATTGTTCTTGCCCCAGCGAGTGGCGGTGGTGATGGCGTGAGGCAGGCACAATACGGCAACACTAGCTAGAGGTACACAGCGAAAAAATATATATTAAAAATTGTTGGAAAATTATAAGAAGTTTTAAAGGAGTAAAACTTGAATATAAACTCAGAGAAATCAAGGATTCCCTGCAGAAAGTTTACTTAAACTTTATCTAAATAAAAATTTTTAAAAGTAAAGTATATATAAATATTTTCCTAATATTTTTAACAATTAAAGCTACTTTTCCCTGACTGCATCACTTGCAGCAACACTATCCATACAACAGCAACCACATTGGCAACACCTTCACTCTCTTTCGCTGCGATATCGCGATGATGTATGGTCATGGTTGCCCCTGTGCCACCACCCCCCTTGGCTGCCCCCCTGCTCACCCCATTGGCGGATTGTAGGCGTCAACTCACGTTTATGCTTTGTAGACATTATCGCGCCTGTTTATCTTTAAATTGCAAGTAAATTACTTTCGGCTCGCACAGCGGATGATAAATTGTCTGGGCCGCGTTGAAGGCTCTCTGACGGATGCAATGAGCCCAAATCGGAGGCTCCTCAGGGGAGGGGTGAAAAAATGGAAAAGTATCTATGGCTAGCACCTCCAATTATTCGCTGGTTAAATTCACAGATTCTCACCCGCCTGTGCGAAGATTTCGTGAGCCAGCTTAGCGGCTAATAAATTCCAAATTGCATTATGGCTAATATAAGGGGATGACTAACCGAATGGTTAAGGTAATATCGGAAATAGTGAAAATTGTACATCATTTTATACTTATTAAATTGATGAAAATATAAGAGAACAAGATAAAAAATGTATCTAAATTTATAACGTTTTTTGTAAGATTTTACTACCATGAAAGGATTTTTTTATATTATTTTGTAGCTGATTTTAGTTTTCGTATTTGATTTTTTCTAATTTCTACTCGTTTTTATTCGAGTTTGTTTATATTTTCATTAATTAAACTTATTTCTTAATAAATAAACAACAATCAACAAGCGTTTGGCTAATTTTGTAATGTCTGGGCAATGGATTTTATAGGGGAATCTCTCTCAGTAATGGGTCTCCGTGATCCTGACCTTGCCGTACTTGCCATGGAGGGCGTGCTTGGCAAAGGACAGAAGGTTCGAATGGCTGTGAACATCCAGGTGAGCTGGCACCACAGTTTTATGATGCACAATGGCGGCATGGGTGTCATGGTGATGGTGGTGCACCAAAGGAGCAGTATGATAACGAGCATAGTGATAGTGGTGGGGCAGCTCCTCATGATGGTAGACAGTAGTGGGCAGCGACTCCAAGTGGTGATCGAAATGATGATCCAAATGGTGATCGAAATGGTGATCATCATGTACTATGGCGGCACTATGTCCCAGGTGAATGCCATCCGAGTGATGGATCTCGGCATCCACCAAATGAGGCAGATCCGCATGGTGGTAGCCATGATGGTGATCCACATGGGGCAGAAGACCAGCCTGAGCCACGCCAACCAAGGCCAAAATGGACACGAAGAACTGTGAGTCATAAAGTTACGGTGATTATAAATTCATTTTAAAATTTGATAAAGGATATACCTTCATTCTGGGAGATTCCTGGCTTAATTTGAGGGGTTATCCAATTGCTGGGCTTTTAGGTGTTGCCTGCTGAACTGTTGTCTGTTGACTGTGGCTAAAACCCATGGAACCCTATCATTTTATAGGAGCCTCCCCGCTCCCAAAGACAATTCAAACGAAATCGAAAATGAAGCCGAAACCAAAACCATTGCCGAGGACGTGATAAGAATTAATGAGCCACGCGTATAGGTCTTCCCTCATTATGTAAAGGGAGTGAGTGAACCGGGGCGTCAGTCAACAAACCCTAAGTAGGTGCCTCTATCCGATCGATGTCATAATTTTATGGCCCACAGCCCCAGTGCAATGTTTAATGAATCGCCAGCCCAGCTACTCCCACTACTTGGCCATTTGGCAACAGTGATCGAGTGCAGTGAAAGCAAAAGCCCACTGACCAACATCAACCTGAGACGTGAGCAGTCCAAATATTTGGCAAACATCTCCGCTGTCCAGAGGTGCGAAAATGTGATCGACGCAAATCGCAACGAGTGTGGGTGCTGCTGGTGCCGTTGGCAAACAGAGGAGGTGCCAAAAATACCTGGAACCCGCTTTGTTGGAGGATCAACAATCAATTGGTCGCTAATTGAATATATCACTCCCACAAGATGCCAATTAGAGACCTTTCCTAGCCCACAGCCCCAGTCAAGGTGGTGCGAAATTGTTAAATAAACACAACTAGGCTGGCTGACTGACTGGCTGGCTGAGCTCATTAAAATCTCTTTCTGAATAAATTATATTTATATTAATTGAATAGCGAATTGAGCTCTTAGGCAGAGGTGGCAGTTAAGCATATAGGGGTAAAACGATGCATCATAGAAATCGTTTCAGTTGAGTAATTTTATAACTAAGCTTGTAATTAAGGATTAGGCAATAGATCTTTGGAGAATTAGTAAGCCATGAAGTACTTAAAGAATTGTAGTAAAATGAAAAATTAAATGTAAAATTTAAATTTAAATTTAAACTAGGCCAAAAATGCTTCTGACTAAAATTATAATACCCTCAAAAAAGTATGAAAATTCCACAACCTTTGATTATAAAGCATAATAATTTTCTTCCTTAAAAGCTACACAAAAGTAATAAAAATGTATTAAAAATATTTAAATTTTATTATATCCTGATTAATATTTTCTTAGTTTATTACCAAGTTTCCTAGTTTATTACCTTAAACGGAAACCCCTCGCTTTCAGGTAGCCTTTTTTTTTAAGCTCTCAAAAATGGAGTTAGTATTTCCACACACAAACCCCTCTCTGCCATATTTCACTCCCAGTTTATGGATTTGCCAACTTCGAGTTGCTGAGTTTCCCAATCCCAAACCAAGTCCCTGGACTGCCCGACTTCCTGTCAACGACGTGCCGGCGAAAAACACGTTCCATAAGTCAGCCTCGAGAAACATGAATAAATCAGACTGATAAGAGGCAGTGCCGCCAAAACCACCTGCTGGGATGTGGGTCAGCCTGCAGCTAATTACATAATAATTTGGTCAATCAAACGCTGCCGTTAATGAGCCGCACTGTATGCAGGTGACACAGAGCAACTCCATCGAACTTGGAAAACGGACAAGCTGAACCCACGTGCTACGTGCGAGCAACTTGAAATGCCAGACAGGTGTCGTTCCACGAAAAATAAAAATAAATAAATAAAAAAACAGAGTGCGATTTTGTTTTTTGGGGGTTCAAAAGCGCGATTGCAATTTGTACACAACTGACAAATGGTCTAAATAAAAGTTAAACGTTCTAACACTTGGAAATTTATCAATATGAGAGGGTATAAATCTTCAGAAAAAGAACTGGAAATAAAAATTAAATACATTAAAAAGAAACCATTCTATGAATTTTAAATCAATATTTATCAATATTTTGATCTATAATTCTTGGAAACCTACCAATAATCTTACATCAAATATTTCCAAATAATTTCCACTTGACTAGCTAATCATTTTGCAAATATAAATATATATTTTTCCTCATCGGGCAATCAAGAGGGAGGCATAACAAAAGCAGAGCAGCGCCGCAGTGAAATTAAAAATGAAAATAAAAATAAATAAACTATAATTTATGCGACGTCACCGCACTGGTCGCTGTAATTGAGTGCATCGTTAGCCGGTTGATGGAGCGGAGACTGGGGTATGGGTCTGGGCGGGCATAACCACGGGGGGATTGGGTGAAGGTGGTGGTCTGCATTAGCTGCCACTACCGATGCCAACAACTAATTTAATGCCAGCAGCAGCGGCAGCAACGGGCGACGGCAACATGTCAACAGCAACGCCTGACCAAGGATGAGTGGGAAGAGCTGCCAAACTGGTGGGAAAAGCGAGGAAATTCAGGGGGAAAAATCACTGGGGGGATAGATACTCTGCATACTTAATGTCTCTCTCCCCATTGTGGGCAGATATTTTATGAATCTGCGGCCGAAATCATTTTTGCCACACATTCGCCTCGCCTCGAACCACAAATCAGCGGAATGAGAAATTTGATGGTAATTAATATTGTAAGCGAAATTAATGGCAATGCGACACTGCACTGCACTATATATGCTATATGGTATATGGTATATGCTATGCAAAAAACTATATATGCACGAGAGTGCTTTAGACAATTGGAACACTTCAGCTGGGGATGGCAATCACCAGTTCGTGGGATCGAGGGAAGAGATCAAAAGCGGTCCTCCATCTTTCTGCGCATATTTTTCCGTCAACTAAATGGGTTCATAAATAAATTGTAAGGCTAAATTTGAGTTAGTTTAAAGGGGAGGCTGTACAAGATAAATTTAGTGAAGTTATAATAATGCGTGATATTTATAAATTTGATTCATGGGGTAATATAAACTAAAGGCTATAATATTTGTTAAAAATATTTCCAATAATAATCATTGATTCCATATCCTTTTCCCACTCCCCACATCACTTCCAGAATTAATTTCGCAATCATCAATGGAAATATGTACGGTTTGCCCCAACAATATATGGAATAATCGCCTGATTGGCTGCTACCTTGATTACCCTTCCTGGGAATCTTCATCATCAAGAGTAGCTTGGTAGCTATTCAAGCAACTCCCCCCGTTTCTTACCATATTTTTGCAGGTGTTTCACGTGGCACTGTGCCAATTTGTAAGCGAATATTGTTTTCGCTTTGGTCCAGTGCACGATTTTTAATCATTACGAAGGCGATCTTCATATGAGTCTGGCTGCGCGCCCCTGTTCATCTGTATTTCTCTCGCTCTCTGCCCCCGATCGGCGATACAAATTGGTATAGCTGCTAGTCTAGTTCAATCCCCGCTCGATTATTGCATTTTCGCCAGGTAATGAAGTTCAACAAAAAGTTAATCGGAAAAGCGCAGGCCCCGCAACTAAATAGACAAATGATACGGAACGGAAGCTGCTCTAGACGGGGGTTTCTCTCCTCCTCTTTCCCCATCTGATCAGCTATATTTTCCTATACTCCTCCACTGGCTTCTCCTGCACTACAGTGGGAGAAATATATATGAAAATTGTTAAGCTATACTTGAGATTTTTGCGAATATATTACCTTGAAACTCTCTATAATTAACTAAGCTAAAATTAATTATATAAATGTATATATAAGCAAAAGCGTTCTAATAAATTGATTTAGCTTTTATCCAAGGTATGTTTTATCCGATAAAATAGTTCGTGAATTAATCTTACTCTGTGTTCTATATGTTTTCTGGTTTTGATTTTTTATTGAAAGTTTTCTTTTGGAATTTAATCAATACATTCAATAGTACCTTTGACACCCATATTTTCTCTCTCTGCATTCTTTCTTCTGGCCAATTGTGCGGTGGGCTTTGCTTGGCACATTAGCGGCTATAAATTGTCTTAATGCCCGCACACAAATGCAGATCTGCAGAGCCAGCAAAAAAATCTGGAGTGCGCCGGGAGGAGCTGCAGCGATCGCAGGAGCGAGGGGCAACACACACAAACACCTTGAATGGCGGCAAAGATCAGACTCGAGATTCAGGCGAGAGTTGCGAACTTTAGCCAGGCAGCGCGATTGTCTCAGTCTCAGTCCCAGTCCCAGTCTCCGTTGCAGTCTGCACTCTGATTCAGATCTTCATACATGATCATATAACAAGAGGGCCAGGAGGATAGAGCAGATCGAAGATGGGAATACCCTTTGAAATATTTTTATTTATTCCTTACTTGATACCCAGAATTTCTTCGTTTATATGTAAATATCTGTTGTAAAATATATATTTTTCATTTTTCAAATTATAAACCCTATTCTAGGGTATCAAAGATGCCAAGAATATTTCAAGACGGAGCATGAGGAGGTGCCTTGGTGAGCCTCTTGGAACTCCAAACTGAACCAAGTCGAAGTTGGCCTCTAGCTTATGCAACTCCTTGGCCTCACTTGCATGTCCAATCGCTGCGAGATTGTGAAAATTGTAACGCTCGATTGAGAGCTCAAAGTTGCTGCCATAGATGCAGCAGTTGCTGCTGCTGCTGCTGTTAATAATATTGCACAAAGGCAGCTTAGCTTAGCTTTTGCGAAAGTTCGTCAGCAGAACAATGGCCAGGCGCACTCAATTGAAGTGTTTGCCTCGATCTCCTCCCGATTCCTGCCTGATTCTGGCCAAGAACGCTGGGCCATTGTCAGTTGATTTCATCTGAAATAGAAAGCATGCAATTTTCATGCCATGACCGTGGCGTCGATAGGCGGCAGCAATTGATCTGCCAGCGATCGCCAGCGATCGATTGAAGGAGTTATTACACGCGAACAATGCAGGATCGAAGCTGGGGGCAGGAGGAATGGAGGGATCATCGGCGAGGATCAGCGCTATTGCTCTATTAGCGTTTTCGGATCTTCGAAGAGCGAGGAGCACGCGGTGGGGCATAATGATTTTGCGGAATTCCAAATGGATTGGACCACAGTCGCAGTGCAACGGTGAGACAGGTGCTAATTTCATAGAACGGCCAATTGAAATGCCTCGAAAAAGAGAATGAAACGGACTGCTAGAGATCTTCTGAAGCGGCCGACAAGTGCGTGGCTAAAATCAACTCCCAATTACACTGGTCATCAGGGGAGTAAGA